AGCTTGAGCTTGTGATGCTCTCTACTTGCTAAACTTTACAATCAACTCTTCTTTCAGGTACTTTCTCTTGCTTCGCTCTTTATCCCTTTTGTGTTGTAATTCTTCGACAATTGTCAGTGTTCGATCTGGGTTTCGACCTGAATCGTTTAACCTAGATGCGATTTCATCTTCCTGGAGTTTGGCATTTGAATTAGGGATTTTCTAGATTATTCTGTTTCAAGTTTCGTTTAATCGTGGATCAGATTGAGGTTAATAAGTCCGTTTTTTCTAGGGTTTTCGATTGCTACTGGGTAAATTTTTGCTGGTGGGTGACACAATGAGCAGACCTAACACTCGAAACAAAAACAAAAGACAAAGACCATCAGATGCTCTTGATTCTTCTCAAATTCTCCGGTACAAAACAAAATCCACCTTCCTGAAAAAAAAAAAAAATTAAGTCTTTTTTCAGTTCTTGCGTTGTTTTTTTCTTCTTCCTTTTCAATCTAAAACTGCTTTATTGCAGGAAAATTCACGAGGCAAATGATGTAACTGATGATGACATTAATCAACTTTTCATGATATGGAAGCCCGTTTGTCAAGGTTGTCGTGTCAACACCCGTGACAATCCAAACTGCTTCTGTGGCCTGGTTCCACCAGTCAATGGAAGCCGGAAATCTGGTTTGTGGCAGAAAACGTCTGAATTCATTCAGGCTCTTGGTCCAGATCTGTCTTTGGATCGTCGTGCTTCTGACTCTACACCGGCCGGTTTGACCAATTTGGGTGCTACTTGCTATGCCAACAGTATACTTCAGTGTCTCTACATGAATACTGCTTTCCGGGAAGGAGTTTTTTCTGTTGAGGTTGATGTCTTGAAACAGTATCCAGTCTTGGATCAGATTGCTCGGCTTTTTGCACAGCTGCATGCTAGCAAAAAGTCTTTTGTTGATTCAGATGCTTTTGTCAAGACGCTGGAGTTGGATAATGGGGTTCAACAGGATACCCATGAGTTCTTGACATTGCTTCTGTCCTTGCTTGAGCGTTGCTTACGCCATTCTGGAGTTTACAAAGCTAAAACAATTGTGCAAGATCTCTTCCGTGGTAGTGTCTCGCATGTGACCACGTAAGATTGAGCTTATTTTTCATCTAAGAAGGTTTATTTGGTTTTCAAGGCAAAATATTATCTACATCATTTGCAAGTTATTTAAGTGTAAATGTGTGAAACACTATATGCTTTTTGGTGTCTTTATCATCTG